CCACTGTCGCTGCAGCCTGTTTAACAACCATTTTATCAGTTCTTTTTAGCTTCTTTTTTCACTTGTTCCATATATTTTACAAAATCCAAACAAACGAATTCAAAGGGAATTTTTACCTTTTTGCCACCGAAGATAAGCTTGAGGAAGAGCGAGAAGAATACTACCACAATGGAGACGAGGACACCAATTGTTAAGTTTGGTTGTTGCTCAGCTTTCTCAATCAGTTCCTATAAAACACGCACATTTCCAAATCTCTCTTTAGAGGTCGAGTTATCGTCATTACATACAATGCGGGTTAAATCAGGGACAACTTACCGTGATCTTAGACTTGTAGGCACTTAGGAAAGAAATATCTGCAACCTTGTTCAAGAGGTCGAACACAATCTTCTGCAAAATCATGAACAGAAATATAGATGTAAGTATTACGAGCAGTTAAAATTAATATAAGAAAAGTTTTAATTAAGTTGGAAAATCAATTTACCTGGTAGCTCTTGAGACCATCTGAAGAGCCAGCAGCTGCCTCTTCTGCCTTTTGTTTCTCTTTCTCAACATCAAATTTGGGTTTCCAAGTTGTTTGCCTGTAAGTTTCAGCGACCTTCTCGTCTTTCGCTATCAAGATGTTGTCAAACAAGATACCGTCTTGCATTGTCCAGATCTCTATACCAATGGCTGCAATGGGTTCGAAATCAGGTCTATCTAGCTCAAAGTAGTCAGGGTTAGGGATATCTCTGGGTTTCCAGATTCCCTTGTAAGCCGGGTTATCTATAAGAGGTGCACTCCATTTGCCCTTGTAAGCAGGATTCCTCTTCATCGGTCTCTTCCATTCACCACAACCAGGTGCTGTTTCACACTTGGGGTTGTCAATCTTTGGAGCCTCCCACATACCATCTTCCTCATCATCCCAATCTTCAGGTTTGGTTGCCTCGGGGTCGTCGACCTCCTCAGGCTCATCATCTAACCATCCTTCGGGTTTCTCAGCTTCCTCATCTTCGATTTCCATGGGTGCATCCTCGTCCCAGTCGTCTGGCTTTGAGGCATTAGGATCAGGAATCTTGGCTCTTTCATCCCAGTCTTCTGGTTTCTTGTCTTCAGGGTCAGGGATGGTTTTGGGAGGGATCAATGCAGGCTCAAAGTCTTCTCCAGAGAGTAAATTGGCCTTTTTCTTCTCTTCTCCATCAACCAAAATTCTCACCTCGTTGTCGGGTTTCAAAATGGCGGTGTAGACATGGGAAAGCTTGTCATAAGGTACAGAGGGAGGGAACTTCAGATGGTGTTCAACGTACTCGCCACTCTTGGGATTCTTGTGCTTCAAGATGAAATGCACTTTGTTTGTGGCTCCACACTTGTCAGGCCCAAACATGATAGAGTAAGGGGATTCGCTATCGAACCCTTGAGGGGTCCATCCAGCTTCCTGAGGACGGAGGTATTTCAAGTAAGCACCACCACACTCAAGCCCTTCCTGGAAACGAACCTCGTATTGAAGAACAACAGTTCCTTCCTTAAGGTTTAGAGGCTCGTCAAGCTCTTTCACTATTCCATACTTACGAGCCTTCTCGCTTACGAGAAGTCCGTAATCATCATGCCCCTCACTCTTAGAGTGCTTCCAGACACCTGAAACATATAAGTGGTGTTACCAAAGAATCTTCTATGTAAAAGTGCAATATCATCAACAGCTCAGGTTCAACAACAAAAGCAAGACTCAAAATTTACAACAGACAATGCACCAAATCCGCCTCTTATCCGATTCAAGTGTTGAAACAAAAGACAAGAACATGCAGATTTCTAATGCCTTTGCAAACCTATTTATAAAGAGCCGAGATAACAATTGATACGGTTGAAAGTAGAAATCATAACACTAACCATTTAACATTATCACTACACTCGTTAGGTGATTAATCATACTAAACACTTTAGTCAGATTTGATTCAAAATTCTCGATTTGATTACTATACAATACAAATATACTTCAATAACGGAAATATGAAGCATTAACAATACCAGAAGAACAGATACTAACTACAATACAGTGGGAAATATAGTGTTACCTTCGTAATCACTATTCTTCGAAACGATCCAGCGGCCATCAAACGGCTCATCGAACGATTCATACAAAACCTGAACATAAAAACGAGAATCCACCAACCAAACTAAGTCCAAACACAGATCTAAATCTTCGGATCTACTAAGAACATTCCAAAGGAAAGGAAATCGAAATTACCGTTTGATCGTCACAATAGCAAAGCTTCTGGAACGAAACGAAAGCTAGGAGAAGCAAAAGACCGGAAAATAGTTGCCGTTCTCTCATTCTCGGAAATCCTCAGAATCTAATCGGAGAGTAGATCGGAAAACAAAAAAAAATCCCTCGTGGAGGAAGAAGAAAGAGTGAAAAATGTATTTTCAGATTTTCTAGTTTCTGTGAATAAATTATATATTCAATCCCGTAGACCCGGTCGAGTGTGTCAATTTGTTGTTTCCACCAATGAAATCGCTTGCCACGCGACGTTAACCAATCATAACATGCCACGTCAGTAAAAAGCGAGATCTGATACGTGCACAGTTAATTGCTATATACGTGCGCAATTACATCAAGTTGGTTATAACGATTGGGCCTGGGCCCATTAAAAAAAACATATTTACTTGCAAATCCCAAACTTTTATGAAATTCAAAATAAAGTCTTTAAGACAAAACTTTACTAAAACCAGCAATTTTCTTCACTCGCTTGTCTCTTTCAATCAATTCCCTAACCTTAACCACATCCTCCCATCTCTCTGCGTTTACATACATTTCCACCATCAGTTTATACACTCCTCCGTCCTCGGGACTCAACGCCTTAACTCGTTCTGCAGCTTTCTCCGCGACCTCTATATTCCCGTGGATTCTACATCCGCCCAACAAACCGCTCCAGGCTAAGAGTTTCTCTCGGTTTCCTCCATTTTTTGGCATTTGCTCGAGCATTTCCGCTGCTTCTTCGATCAACCCTGCTCTTCCAAGCAAATCCGCCATACACCCGTAATGTTTCATCTCCCTATCGACATCGTACAAAGATCCCATTTGGTTGAAAAGCTTCCTGGCTTCATCAACTAGACCAGAATGGCTGCAACCAACTAAGACGCTAATGAAGCTTACTCCGTCTGGTTTGATTCCAGAACTAACCATCCTACGGAAGTAATCAACTGTTAGCTCGCCGTAACCGTGCATCGCAAGACCAGTGATCATTGCATTCCATGTGAATAAAGTTTTATCTAAACATAAGTTGAAGATCTCCATTGCAGTATCGATGAAACCACATTTTGCGTAGAAATCCACCAAACCAGTAGCTAAAAACGAATCTACGAAAAGTCTGTTCCTTTTCGTGTACTCATGAATAGCTTTCCCTTTCTCTAAATCTCCTGATTGTGCACAAGCTGAAAGAGTTGAAACAATCGCGACGTTATCCGGTTTGAGACCCAAAGCAATCATTTCGTTGAAGAGGTTGATTGCTTCTCTGCACTGATTCATCTGCGCATACCCAGCAATGAGACTATTCCACGAAACCAAATCACGGAAAGGCATTGAATCGAACAACTGCCGTGCACGAACAACCTCACGTGCCTTCACTAACCCATCAATCAACACATTGTACGTGACAACATCTCTTTGAGGATTTTCGTCGAACAGCTGCAGTGCACTACCAATTGGAGCAATCAATGAATAAACACGAGTCAGAGTGTTCAAAGTGAACAAATCAGACAACAATCCGAATCTCAAAGCTTGACAATGCAGCGTCTTGACTAATGTAAGATTACCATTCTCCTTTGCAAAAGCCTTTAATACGAAAGGGAAGGTGTGGAAATCGGGAGGAACAGAGCGACGCCGCATCTGGACGAAGAAACGGTGAGGAGACAGAGACGACCCATGAAGCGTATAAACTCTAATGATCGTATTGAAGCAAAACGTTGATGGGTTTGTGATGAGTTTGAAAACTGAAGTCGCGTAACTCACGACCGCATTCAATGCCGACGAAGAGTTCGATAAAGCCGGTGTCGCTGTCGGAGACGGCGAGATAGAGGTAATGGCGAAGAGGATATTGGCGAAAACAGAGTGTCTGTTGAAATCATTGGAGATTCGACCGGAAGTGATGAATTGGGCGTGAAACTGATGCAGATGTTTTAGTGTTTTACACAGCTTCAGGAGATTCTCGACTTTTAGGTTGAGATACAAGCAATTGGTAGAATTTATCATTCAGTTGTTCTAAGAGCTTCACCAGATTGTTTGACATTTGACTTGAAATGGTGCGAAGCTTTCTCTTTTATAGGAAACAAATTCAGAATTTTATTCTGCATAAGCTATTTTCTCGGGAAATTTTCTGCTCGAGAAATGACTGTTTCTGGACTCACCAAACTATTAAAGAAGAATCAATCAGATAATTTTCTTATTCTCCATCATGTTAAATTCGACATCTCAAGTTAATTTTCTACACTCGAATGATCTTTACCGAGTCCTTAAACCCCGGAAAGCTCAAGTTTTTTTCGCCATCATCAAATCAAAGAGTTTTCACTGTATCTCTGTGAACACAACATTTAGGTTCTTGCTTTTTTTTTTTTAATCAAGGGCAAGATTTTTCTTCATAGCTTCGTAAACAAGGTACGAAATGCTTGCAGACGGAACAACTTTGAAAAGGTTTGGTACGATTCCTCTGTAAAAGCCTCTAAGACCTTCGCCTCTAAGCGTTTTCAGAAACTCTTGGCTCATTCTAGTGTTTGCACTATCAGCTTGCATTCTGATAATAAACGACNAATCTCAGTTTGAAACCGCGGAAATAAGAAGAAGATAATTTCAGAAGATAAAACAAAGCTTATGTTTTGAGTTTACCTTGTTCGTATGACTTGCAACGGGTAAACACACGATGCTCCAAGAGCTCCAGACGTCATTCCACATCCGAGTTGTATGAGAGGACCCGGCTCTGCACAATACAAACTGTTTAGTATCGTGTGATAGATTAAAAATTTTACAGAATATCTCAAGGCTCGATGAGATTCTAACCGTAACCGTTGTCATGAAGAATATATTTCCTTGACAAGTCTTTAAGAGTTTCGTAAGCAGCGAGGTCGATTCCTGCGTAAGGTATAATCCCAATCAGAGAAGGACAAAGACCCTTGTAAAACGCTCGAGGTCCTTCTTGAATCCAGATGTCCTTTGTGAGTTTCCACAGCTTTGGTGTCTTCCCGAGTTCACTCACACAAGTCTGTAACCGAGTCTTCACAAGATCCATTGGATAAATAGCGGTTTGAGCCACTGCACCAGCCAATCCACCAGCCAAAAGCCTTCCGCTTGTACCAATGTCACCATCAGCTCCCCCAATTATGGGTTTTAGCATTTCGTAAGCAGCAAACTTGATGGCGCTTTCAGGAGCGACTTTCGTTACATTTAAGCCATTACCTCTGAAGAAACCCAACAACTTATCTTCTCTCCATATCTTCTTAATGGTTGGGACAACGCCCGATTTTGTTCTTTGAACTTGCAAAACAACTTTCAGACGGTCCAGGGGCGCAGTTGCGGTTCTAGAAACAGCTCCTGCTATTCCTCCCGCAAGAAGTAATCTGCTTCTTTGAGCATTATTACTTATACCGTCTGGTATAACAGCTTGCTCCCCAATGTCTATTAAGCATACTCTTTCCCAGTGGTGATAAATGTTCTCAATTGTGGCTTCATGAGGGTGTAGCAAAAGAAAGTCCCTCCACTCTTCGAAAGTTATAATTCCGTTGTTGTCCTTATCAACATGCTCCATAAAAGAAGCAAGTTCCTCATCTTTAATTTCAATGCCTACAAGAACATAATTGAAACACTGTTACACAATAACATAAAAACTTTTGAGAAATGAAAGCATCAAAAGAGTCAAATTTGCCATTGCACTCACTGAGATCATTTTTGAAAAATCCAATAAAGCAACTCAGAACCCACAATTTCAATTAGATTAGCGAACAAGGACAATGACAAAGGATAAGCAGGCACTGTTAATATGCAGAATCTCCTAGTTCAGAAGTTTCTTTTACAAGGAAGAAAGAGCTTTCCAATACATTGTCAATTTTCCTGAAGCAAAAATCTATCTAATAGACTGATTAAACTGTCTCATTCACTAAAAAGGTCTTTTCTTCTATGATTCAAACATTTGATTCCAGGAAAAGCATAGTTATAGACCACCTAAAAACGGAAACAGTGATATCGAACACACAGCTTGCATAGTTGTAATCCAAATCAAGCATTTACAATAGAAATACGTCAAACAACCAACAATCAAAAAGAAAGCTACCAAGAACAGTGACAAAAGTGGCATCTTCAAATCCAAGTTACCAACTAGCAACTTAAGCAAACTCCACATCCATAAACCCATACAAGATTCCTCTTTTGCTTTTAGAACAGTAGCAGCAAAAGGAACATTATTGGAATCAGAATCACTCACCAGCCTTGTCAAGAGCCTCCCATAGCTCCTCAGGGCAAATGTCGCCATTGTGTTCGACATCAATGGCCTGGAAAATCACATACAGCTCAAGCTCCTTAGCGTCCATGTACCGACGAAACTCCTCGTAATCGACACGTCCATCTCGATTCGCGTCGCAGACTTTAAGAAAATCTTTAGCATACTTGTACTTTGGAGGAATTCGAAGCGAAGACAGACCTTTCTCGATCTGGGTATCATCTAAGAACCCTAAATTCGAATCGTCGAAGAATTTGAACAGGTTACGAATCCTGATCTCTCTCTCCTCCTTCGTCTCGCGTAAAGCAACCAAGACATGCTCCATTGTCGCGGCGGCTCCGGGCTTCTTACCCGGATTCTGGTTGGATTTTCCCGCCTCCATTGCGTGGATTTAACGATCAATCGAGAAAACCCAGATGAAAAAAAAAACTTGAAAGGCAGGCTTCTTCAACACAGCTTTTGACGATTCTAGGGTTCCTACATTCCTGGAAGAAGTAGAATCTCAGAAGAAATTCAAAACCAGAATCCAAACATTGGACAAAAACTTGGTCTCTTGAGAGATGTATATGTAGATGATAACGGTAAGAAAAACGAGAATGGTAGAAGAAGTAAGAATCAGCCGATTTGAGTTTCGATCTCGCTCTTCGTTAATGGCGATGAACCAAAATATCAGACTCCATTATTTTTCATGGACCACGTCCACACACCATTCAAAAATGACACCGGTCTAGTTTGGTAGAATCACGTGTCGACTTAAACCGGTCTAGCTGCTTCGAACCAGATGCAATGAGTCATTTGAACAATTGAATCAGAACAAATTGATTTTTGTTTCTTCTTTTATTTCTAGATCGGGAATGAATTCGGAGAATTTTGGTCCACTAGATTTTTATTTTAGCATATAAAAACATTGAAACTCCCAAGAGATCTGGAACCAAGACAACAACTAGTATAAAAATATTGGTTACGACTACAAAGTCCATCGACCAATGCGTATTGTGTGAATGTGATGTATTTGAATAAGGAACTTACACGTATAAATTTGTTTGTCGGAACTCACACGTCTAATTTAAGCATACAAAAATATCACATATAGAGGAAAAGGACAACAAGAGAAATATAAAAAACAAAACTCACTTCGAAGAAAAATATCTAGTCGACATAGTTTTATGTGCTTAGTGATTGATAACCATCGTCCCGGTTCTGTCTCCGGTATACCACGGCGGCTATTAG